GCCTAAGAATATCCCCTCCCCCGCCCTCTACCCCTTAAAAAATAGAAAAAACAAAAAAACAAAACAAAACAAATTTATTTGTTTATTCAATTCTCCATATTCTCAAATCAAGGCAGAACCAGATATATCTGTCCAATTCAGTCTGAAATGTACCCTTGACAGTAAGATTGGAAAACTGCTTTCTTTGATTCTCTATAAATTAAAAGCTGTGGTGGACATGTTGTCGTTTTTACTGTCCTTCAGGTCGCTGTCTTTGTTTGTTCGACTGGATTGTAGATAGACTGCGGACATTAATAATTTGATCGACGAGAGGAAGTTTCCAATCATGTCAGTAAAGGAGGTAGACGTTGTAATTGTTTGTTGGTTATAAATGGGCGATGCCAGACATAACCTAGCGGTAGTATGTATTAATCATAACCATTTATTTTTGATAATATAGTCTTATATCTATTCTCAAAATAATGAGAAAACATCAAGACTTTGGATATAACTGGGTTTTTCGTATGAAATTCGAACTACGATCATTAATTGGCATTGTATAATGTAAATATCATGTTACTCGATGTTTCAAATAGACGTACATTTGTAAGACAGACTATAAACCAAACTAATTATGTTTTTGTTTTTCTGTACCTGTGTCAGATGCTATCTTGTACAGAACTACGTGATGCACTCTGTTTAGAAGTAGGGTACATTTGCATAAATACAAATCAGTATTGTATGTCAATGCATTGTTTCATTCACTGGACATTGGTCTTAATTGAAAAACTAAATGACCATTTTATGGAAGACCTATAAACATCTACGAGGCGTGTTTCGAAATAGTATAAATGAGAAAGTATATTGATTATCGATTGATCAATTTCTTCAGATGGGTCACTTCCGGTTGGGGCTATTTGGAAAATAACTGACGTCAATGTATTCCCGATATCTGAACTATGCGACAACCAAAGCCGTATATAGATAAAGTTGCGACAACTGTGAAGCCAAAAATTTCAGGGATGAAGATAGATATGTCATAGAATTCCGCGAAAAAGAGATAAAACATACATTTTTTAAACGAAAAGTATAGCTGAACAAACTATTATTATTATTATTATTATTATACAACAAAAAGCGCACAGTATTGTTATAAGAATATAGTCTAATTCATAAGAAAATGAAATAAAAGATACACCAGATAAAAGCGCTATTAAATATATTTAACTTGCATACGCTTTTAAAAATAAGATTTTCTGTGCAGACGGGTAAAGTGAAAAATGAAAATTTAAATAGTAATTTGGGAGATAAAACCTTTTTGCCTTCTAGCCGGCAAAATAAATGCCTGAAATTCCATGATTTTTGGGTCTGGAGCCATTCCGAATTGTGTGTCAGTTTTTGGTCATCGATCATTAATTGTATCATCAATTATTCGAAAATAGAAATTTCTTTAATTTGAAAATCAGTGTAACTTAAAATCAGTGTAATTTAAATAAAAGGTGTCTAGCGTGACATGTGTTTCGGGCATATTATGTTTCATCAGTGACATGTGATACGAGATATAGCTCTCCGAAACTTCTTGGTTTCTTTTGCAATTTGTTTGGGGTAAGACGTTATCACTCCCCGCCCTGTGTAAATAATAATATTAATCTAATATATAAACCGCACAAATTTAACAGATACAGATAATGCACATGTTATTCCACAGGTAGACAGACATTGAAGGGGCCCAGTGAAGGAGACGCAGTTGGTTAAGAGTTTGCCCGACTCCTTTGGGTATTTGCGCCCCATTTCCAATGAAATAATCATGTTGTTCTGATGCTCAACTAGTATCAAATATATATTGTGTCTGAGATTTGTTACAAATCGCCTCGAACATGTTCCACACATCTCAACATTTATCAGATTTTTGTTCAATCTATAAAAGCCTACACTCCTTCAAAATGTTTTGTTTAGTCAAGTTAAACAAGAAAAGGCTAAATGGAACAATAGGACAAGTAATAAGTAATTTATTAAAATACACCATTTTGGATTTCATTTTGCCGGCCATTTTGAATTTCTACCATCAAGAATTCTCGAAATTAAATTTTTGAGATTATCGCTTCCCTTTTATTACCAAATTAATGTTGTTTTTATTATTATTATTATTATTATTATTATTTTTTATTTAAATGGTATTATATTACCAAATTTGGCAGTCAATTTGAAAGAAATGTCCGCCATCAAATGAAAAATACATTTTTTAAAATGATTTTTGTAAAATTCGATTTTTCGACACATTTCGCTTGCATTTAAAAAGAAATTATTTATCCTTCCACCACTGAAAGACAGTGATTACGAGATATCGCTCTCCGATAATTCCTGAAGAACGCCAAATTGAATTCTGTTAATCATGTATGATTTTGTCTGACATATTTATCATTGAACCAAACTGCATCGGTTTCTTTTGCAATTTGTTTAGGATAAATTGTAGCCCGTAAAACGTTATATCAAGAAAAGCTATATGACGCCATGACGTCATACTTTTTATGGCGTCATAGTTGGGACTCAAAATGGCGCCTGTAAATGGGTTGTCGTAACTTTCCCTACACAGGGCTTTGGCGACAACAAGATCCTAGATACTATAAGAAAAGCCTGTTAACTGACTTAAACGGCTTCCATGTTTAAGCTGTAAATAGTTGGGGAATAAGTGAGAATTATGGTACGCACTAAAGAATACAAATTGATTAATAAAGTGAGTGCATGCAGCTCAAGTACTAACGGCAAGATATAAAGTAGACGTAAGCAGATAAAAGAAAATAGATGTGGCAGAAAATGTCGTGTTTGTTGTTTACATCAAGTCAAAATGAAAAATACGTAGGTCTGGAAATGAAATTTTAACCTCGTTCACACGCGAATGAAAATTACAAAAAGGGATTACTAAAACATTATTAAAATCAAAATAGTTTTTCTTCGAAAGAACAACAAAAACAGAAATATTTAATCCTTGTGCATCAATGAAAGTGCCCTATAAAGACATGTCTTTATCTTAGTATGAAATAGGATAAACAACCGAAATATACTCTTAAAAATAAAAGTAGGGGATATTGAAATGAAAATACCTATGTAGGTTGTGATATGATAAATAGTCATGGACACTTGACATGCATTGAGAGTATGTTCACAGATGAAGAACTTATCGCCCCAACAGAACCACCACTGGGCTGCATGTGCGACACACAGTAGCGCCCTACACGTAGGAGGGGGTCATTGTCAAATTTGACACTTCAAGGAAGGGTTGATGAAAACCGCCGCGTGCTGGTTTTTCCTATCCATGTTTTCTTCCCTATCGGTTCTTGCATAAGATTTACTGTTTAGCGTATCTTTGCTTTAGCGTGTTACGTTTAATTTCATCGGGAGACATGTTCGTCGACGTCAACGTCAACGGACAACACTGCAAGAATTGGCCGTGGCACTGCAAGAGGAGTGGGTCAGATTGCCCCAAATCTTGATTGGGTGGTTGATTAGGAGCAGGCCACGGCGAATTGCTGAATGTATGAGGATTTGTGGAGCAATTACTCATTATTAAGACAAAAATCAAAAACTTCCATTTTCACTTTTGACAGTGTATCTCTTTGCGAGTGAAATGGGGCCTTCAGATAAGCCGCCCATATGAACTGTTCATGTTCATCTGTAGGCAATTGGCCTGTTATTAACATACACTGGTTACCTCTAATAAAAACAGCAGTGCATTTCCGCAGTTTTCTATTGTTTCTGAATATCCCCTACTTTTTTTTTTAACAGTATATAAAACGGAGGGAATCTAGTCCTTTATTTACTTTTATAACAAAAAGAGACCACAGTGCAAATAGATCGTTACAGTTCTTAACAATAATGATTTAAATACACTTGGGAAATTGAAGCATGTTAGTTGTACGATTCAAAGTCAATTTGATGCGATATACTGATATTCAGTTGTCAGCATGACTTTTAAATACATTTGTATACCATATATTCCAAATTCAATTTCCAGTCATATAAATAAATAATATAGGAATGTCTGGTTTCTTTCTTTAAACTAATTATCATTACGGTAATAATAACACAACGTGACGCGTGTTATATCATTTACCCGTTCAACCATCTCTTTTGTTAAAATTCTTTAATTGGTTAGTCTTGTAACGTAACAATAGTCAACATGACGTAATACGCTCCTAACCAACAACAAGATTGTTTATCCATAATATATTGGAACGAACATTTTTGTTTAGATAAAACGTCGATATGTTGGACATTGTTACTGTCTTGAATTATTTATATTATTAATCCACCTTCGATTTTGTATTTTGTTGAAATAATATTATTGAGTTATAACTCCAGGTCTCTGATCACGAGATGGTATGTCCGTTTAACAGAGAGTACGCACGACGTTTGCCAGAACGTTTCTATTGAAAATATATATACGAAACGCTACACTCCTTTTATTGCCACGGTATTGCAGATCATAAAACGGACGTGGTATCCTGATTGGTACATATTTTCTGTGGTGTATCACTTAACCTCAAACGGATGTTATAAACGCTTGTTCTATACACAAACGTTTGTGGGAAGTTATGATGGTCTATTGGTCTAGAATATCGAACTTTGAACCCTATAGCAGGCCGATACCTCTGGCTTGTGGTTGTCGGTTCGATCCCTAGTATATGTGAGCATATGTGACTTGGATATAGCAGTTTCTTCTGTACCTCGTGGATTTACTCTGGTTACTGTGGTTTAAGCAAAGGAATTTACTAATATAATTGGTTGTCTACAATATCACTCACAGTGGAAGCGCGTGTTAAATCCCGGATTAACCAATCGATTATTTGCTTATCATGAAAAATTAAATGACTAAATTAAAAACAAAAATCATATAAACTTGGCCATCGGTTCTTCACCTGAATCGTATCGGGGGTATAGTAATCTACTTTCATCTGAAAATATATTTGTTGATTACGAAACTATCGGACACAGTCCTGGAAATAAACATGAGAAGATCTTACCTTTCTAACTGTTAAACGAACTGGGGTTCTGTCACAACCATCTGTAATATAAACAACAAAAACATATGATGTTGTTCTAGTAAAACGTCTTGGATAACCTTTGTAATATCCTCTGGTTCGAATTTCTATATTAAATATATACCTCCATATCATCTTTAAGTCTAGTTAAATTTCAAAAGTATTTCATCGACAATTGAATAACAACAGTTTCAAAGTTTGTTTTTAAAAAGATAATTTAATAAATGTCATTTATTCACTCGGCAAATTTGATTTATTTCCAAATATAACAATCTATAGGAGTCATCTGGGAAAATTGTGATCTTAAAGGCCAAGGTCACCTTACAATTATTTATAGGTGATTTTTCATCCCTACATATCTGATTGTTGGAGATCAAGGCGTGGGTGAAACATTTTGTACGCAAACAGCTCGAACGTGGGATGAAAACATATACAGGAAGTCATCAATTGATAATGACTTCTTATTGCGCATGATCATCGGTATCCACACATATCCCTAATAAACAAAACGTGTCACTCGATTTATATTGCGATTTCTACATCTTAACCAGGCTTAGTGTCTATCTGTTCCCAAAAGGATAAGTGATGCCTTCTTTTCATTACCTGAACTCAGAAATAAACCTTTCGGGTATTTAAAACTGAAGGTTTATAAAGACGAAAACATTTGTAAACACTAAATGTTTCTCGATTACATCTTGTACAAAACGGTAGAGATTAAATCTTGTTTGACGTATGAACAGCCGTCCTACGTGACACCCAACTCTTTAATCATGCTTTAAATCAGGCATAATTGGTAGCCAGCCTTGCAACGTGTTGATATCGATGTCAAACGAGCCTCTTCGCGAGAGAGGAGTGAATGACGATAAAAAGTTATTGGTTCTAAATTAGAACATTTAAATGATTGATAAGGCTGTTGTAGTTTGGGATGATTGCGGTATAACGATTCTCGTTATAAACCAATATCATTATAACCCTTATCTCGAATCGGTGATATATAGATGTTATGATTTGGAACACTCGCGAGCCGACTGTCAAATGGCACTCAGTTTTCGCTACTGATGTTTTGCCATATTATGTTCCTTTGTTGTCACGAATCTTGATAAAGCACAAGTCATGATAAGCGACTGCGAAGAAGATTAATGTATTTTGTGTGCCCTAGCCACATATTCCCGATTGACAACCAAGCAATTATTACGTTCTGTATTCTAAAACACTAAAACCTGGATCTCTAGGGAAATATATAACGCCATTTATACAATTCAAACCCATTACATTGAATGGAGTAGATACATTTTTTTTTATGATTTTAATGGCATATTAGGTCATTAAAAGTACAGAGGGACTGCACCACACACCAACAATTACACATAACAAACCCATGGACAAGACACAATAGACAGACATCACAAACAACAAATGCACATATCAGATCAAGTGAAATTATCTGGGGGCTAGCCGTAAGTGTCCACTGCGCTGTATAGACCCGGGTCTGTAGCGATACAGACTTCAGTAAAATGAAGAAAAAAAATAACATAAGGGTAGCAACCCCTTAACAAAAGAAGAAAGGGAATATTTCCCAAACGTTGTATCATACCAGTTTGAGTCACGCTCGGCCATAAGCTATATAGATGTAGGCATATTGAAGGAAAAGAACTTTACAATAACCATTTTCATGAAATGCCGTAAATAGCCAAATTAAACTAAATGGCCTATGTAGGGATCAAAACATTATAAACGAGTAAAAGAATTAAAGTGTAATAATAACAAAAATGGGTTATAAGTCCTTAATTCTATAAAATAGAGAAAAACTATTACCGAATACTAGGAAGCAATCGCAAAAAAATGTGACTAGTCTTGACGGCTGTCGTATACTGAATGTGTACGGATATTAAACTTATCCATCATGTCCTTCGGTTAGTGTCACAAGTAATGCCAGTTGGCATTTTAAATTATATCCACCAGGTCTCAGATGGCTTCGAATCTGAACCAGGTGGTTACTAATTATTCGCAGGGTCATTGCCCTTGAATTGGAGAAAAATAGCTTGTGTTGGTTAATATCCATGGGATCTGCGTCGGTTTCTAATTCAACTATCATTGATGGAGACAAATCTAAATTAGCTTGTTTATTCAATTCACACTTCTTGGGAACAAGGTGGCTTAGTGGGTGGGTTGCTACTGTCCCATTTAATACATTTATAAATTCAATAGACCAAAAGCATTGTATCATACCTGTAGAGCTACCTGAATCTGATTCGTCTCCAGTTATAATGACATCACGCCATAATTGAGGCGATACACAGGGAGATTGTATAATGTCAAGATGCTCTTCATCTGAACTCCCGGCTAATTTTCTGATCTCTTCGCAGAGATGATATTCCCCGTCATCTTCATGTGACGTCACACTGGCATGTCTTGAGAAATCCGACTGACTGAAAAAACAAATCACAATGCAAAGAATGTGTTGCTCAAATGACAAACAAATACATAGGTTTTCTTTGTTTTATGCGAGGGGGAGGGGGTCAATTGTAACAGAAATGATCCAGTTGCTTAATAGTAGTAGGGGGTCCCAGAGCAAATACTGCAATGTTTTTGGAAGATGATGTGGCTCATTGTTATCGGATATAAACATAATATCTCAGCCCCAGGCTGTTCATAATGTACCGGAAATGGAAGTTACGGGTCTCGAAATTCACTAAAATAAAACCTCTTTCAATACCCAGTTGACTGTAAATTAGGTTATCCAGAAAAAAACGCGATACGGGTCTGTCTTATGTAGCGTTGTTGTAAGATGTTAAGAGTAAAATGTCCCTACCAGAATAGCGAGTAATGTTTGACGGTTGATCTGCCTTCATGCTTCAAAATATGTCTTTCGAAAATGTCTATTGGTATCACAATAATTGGATGTCATTTTCAAACGGCTAAATAGTTCGGACACAATTTTAACCTGTATAATTCACAAAGAATGAATTACTTTGACTCGAGCAATGTATAAGCCATTCGTACCCCCCCCCCCCCACACACACACACTCCTCCCATTATCGTCTTAGCCCTTTATAAAACATTTTAGCCATATATGAAACCTCTTCGCCCTTTATGAAACCTCTAAACGCAAGAAATACATACGAATGATTTAGTATGTTAGGTAAACGAGCAGTGATCGCTGGGTGCCTTATTACCTTCACGAGGTTACCATCACTGGGCCTTATCTGTATTTAATAATGTTGTCTAGAATGCTAAGCAATCCATTCTTATTATTGATCTCAGTCACATTTTGCCACAAAGACCAATTGTATTTAAAGAGCGATTCTATTTTCACGAAATTCGTTGATTTGCCCGAGGACTAATTGCGCTCATGTTGGCTTCCAGCTTCTCTTGGACGCCCGAAATTAGATTAACGCCATCACAACGAGACTTAATTATAGTTTGCGCGGCTACAAACAAATCGCGCAGACGTCACAAGGCTACCAATCAACCACCTTTTGTCGTTATTCACGATTATTGCCAGTGACTTGAGTCAATACCAATAACATGTAAATCGCTGAAAAAATGAGAAAGGTCTTGCGCGTAATTTCAATAAATGAAAATAAATAGCATGTGCCTAATGGCGGATGCAATGGGTTATCCGACCGAGGATGGTCCTTACCGCTCTGTATCTGCAGTGTATAATGTTATCGTTGACTGGTCTTTAATTCCCGATTGCTGGACCAAAATGGGAAATCAATGGATCAACCAAGTATACATTTACAAGCTTGACTTGCTCATTGACTATAACTTTAGTTAACACACATCAATTTAATACTTTACGTCCAAGATTATGGATCTTTCTAAGCACATTACATTAATAAATGAATGCCGAGTTATTGTCCGTTACAATTTAGATGGAAAAATGTGTACATTAATTTGTCTAATGTGTTTTCTCTTACATTAAAGCCAGATGCACTATGTTCCCAGATATTATTGAATATCGAGTTAATAAAAACAAATATACTGCTAGTCACTTTATATCTTATGGAAACAAAAATTAAAGGGAAACAGTTTTGTCGATGTTTTATTTCTCTAAAATCTGGTTACAAAATTTAAAAGAAGTAAATGGGTTCGGTAGTTACCGAGAAGGTGTTTATAACTATTCTAATAATTTTGTGATAGCACGAGCCGTTTGAATTAGTGACTGAACGCCTCTAAAACAACCCTCTATATACAGACGGCAAGTTAAAAAGTGTGAAGCCTTTTTAAGATTCCTCTGTTCTTTTGATAATTGCTTCGTTGATATTTATTTGTTATGCAGACGGCTTTTCTATCGATGGTTAGGCTGGTGGGGGCTTATTTACAAAAATTAAGTCCTTTCAATAACGTTCCTCGCTCGTTTGATTTCCCTTGTTAGGAATGCAAAACGGAGGGTCTGGCACGGATGGAACGAATTAAAAACCAGGGTAACATGTCCACGTTTGCATGCACGTAAAGGAACCATTGGCAGGTTAAATCAGGAAACGATTCCTTTGCACTTATGATCGACAGATATTTTAGAAAATATTTCGCTAGATTTTGGTAAAGTTACTATTATTTGAACATACACACATTGAATCCGCCCATGTTAACACTTGAGAACACGATTAACAATGCTTGGAAAAAGTTGCATTCAAAGTATTAATAATTCATATTCGGCATTAACAGCAGCTATTAACCTTTAACAATGTACATGTATCTTTATAAAAATTCAGATTATAGCGATGGTGACGTCAGTGGAATTAGTGACATTGGAACTGAAATAACATTTGTTTAGACAGTTAAATTTGTCTGGAATTTACATGTAAAGGTAAATTTAGATAAAAAAAAAATCGAAAATAGCTTAAGCAAGTATGATAAATCACATACAATAATATATTCCGAGTTTTTTTGTTTTTCCTTTGACGGGTTCAATATGACACCTCACTCCATTTGTTGTTTTCAGACAGAAGCTTTCATTATTTGTACAATAAAACGGCGAGAGTCGACATTTACACTTAACTGTAACCGTGTTTACATTTAGAACGCCCGGATTGTATCGCTATTTTTTTTAGAATAATATTTACATTTATTTATTCGATTTAATTCTAGAAAGTCAAAACGCAAATTCTGTGGATATAAAAACTTATTTATAACAAATAAAGATCTTCATCTCAAAGAATAAATTCGCATCTTTATCTGCAATACAGATTTTAATTCGAATTAACCAATGTTCATGTAAACCCATTATGACGTATCGTGTTAGTGCAAATCTTACAGTAACTAGCGCCACACTACACTAATTAGGTTCCGAATAGCCTCAATCGATAGGTTTTGAATCTGAGAATACATGTAGCACACATGTATAAATACGTCACTCTCCCCATAATGAACAGTTAATGTAAAAATATAAATAAATGGCGTTGTTAAAGAGTAATTCTTCGGACTTTAAATCTCATAAACTAAAGGATCAAGGCAATGACACATTTCCTGATGGACGATCCTAATAAGTCCAAACTAATCAATAAGCAATAAGTGATGGGTTAACAGGAGTCAAGGTAGTGAGAAGGGTTTATTAAATACTTGTAATCGATTCACATTACTTCTGATTAAATCTTCTATTTGATCTAATTCAATAAATGGATATTGAAATAAGGATACCACTATTTACTTTTAGCTAATTATCACGGTATTTATTATTTCTTAGAGTTTCATTACAAATAAACGTATCAACTCCACAAATGAGGATTGTAGATTTTTTTTCATCAATGTTTAAACTGAATGAAACTGTAATTTCAACTTGGACAAAACATGAACTCATTAAATGAAAAGTGGTATCCGGTGTCACAAATATTAATTAAATAGAACGATGGTTTAAGTCTTAGAATTCGCGTTGACTTGGCGAATATGGTGCTGGCTCACTAACCGGAAGCTCCGGGTTTCAATCACGGTGTTCGGTGAATAAGTTTCTCGGGATTTTCTAGTCTGGTTTTCCCTTGTCAATGGCTCAAGGCCATGTAGGCGTCTAATCGTCGGGATAAGACGAAAAACCGAGGTCACGTGCATACCATTGGCAGCATGTTAAAAATCCCCAAACAGAAATCGAAATAGAGCAGGCCATTGTGTATATCAGAGTAAAATTCCACTCATTGCACACCACGTGGCGCATGTCCGTTTGTCCATTTTTTCATAACCTGAATATATAGGGAAAATAAAAACTACAGGGCAAAACGTCACCGATAGTCACAATTGCAGTTTAATAGTTTAAAAGAAAAAATAATTTTTAAGAAATAAGACGTAAATCTCTAAAAAGATGTAGTTTCAAGAGTTTCACAAAAAAGAAATACGTATGTACCATCTGAAACTTTGGAGCATTGTTTTATTCCAAAAGAAAGCTTAGAAAATTTTCTAATTTCTAGAAATTATATCAATTTCTTGAGATTTTACTTTATGTATTATTTCTAGGTCACATCGTTTTATTGTCGCATATAGATCTATCGCAAGAAATCTGTCTCGTTTGGTGTATTCTTGGATTCTTCTTTTGAAACTGACTATAATGTAATGCTTACAGAGTTGCCTCCTCTTTTTCTAGAATATTTGATATATATATTACAATCTTTTTTTTTCTGTTTGCATAGATAACAAAATTAATTTGTCATTTCTGTCAATAGATTTTCACGACTGGAATTTACTGTGTCGAAAAGCTGCCTTTGGGATGAAACGAAACACTGATATCCTATTGTATTAATCCACTGCCACAGATATGGAATAATGATTTCTACCAACAAAACCACGTAAATTGTATATAAAGAAAAAGAAAAAAAAAGAATAGAAAGTTAAATTTTCTTCTCTAAAAAGGTTAGCCATTCTCTTATATGCCCCTCTCATCAATTTTGTAAAACATTGTTTGATGACCTTATTGTTTAGAATCGAAGAAATGTCAGGTATTGATGAATATTTTTGATTTTAATGCACAATGATCATGGTATAAACAGACATGTTATAGGGTAATTCCCTCCGAAAATTACGTCACAGGTTTAATATATCTTTCACCATACTAGAACAGACACCTAGCTAGTTGACCGACATTTTATGTCCTAAATCGGCGATTATAGTCCAAGTATACTTCGGGAATTTTGTTAAGTATTCATTCTGCTTTCATTTAATAAAATTGATTTTTTGGTCTAGAATGGACGAAAAAGGTTTTAATGAATTTTCTGTCAGGTTTTGATAAATATTCATGATTTAGAGGCGATAGGATAACAGAGTTAACGGGTTGGTTGCAGTGCTATGAACGGCTAATAATCACATATTTTTAGTATGCTACTTCAAGTTTGTGTATCTCAAAATTTTGGTGGTCAACCTCATGCAAATTTTGGTGCAAAGACATGACCATTTATTTCTAATGAAAATCATTCAGTCCAACCGAAATTTTTACCAATGGGGAAATTAATGGTGATCTGCCCCCGAAAAGGGTGTTAAAAACAAGAGTTATTCCCCTTGAAACAAAATAAATTTCGCTGAATATTAGATAACTCTATCATCTAATTGTGTGACATTATCTTTTCCATTATTTTTTCTTTGTCCACGATAACCTATCATTAATATTTTGTTATTACCATAATTAGATAATCGTTTAGTGCAAACTTCAACAATGCGCAACCTTCGACCTTCATTTCAAGATCTACGAAAAAACAATTTTTATTTAATGTTTTTCTCTTATAAATATATACCAAGGTAACAAGTGTACTCATTAACCACGCACAGTTGAATTGATAACCAAGCGAGGACTAAGCGACTGAGCAATATAATTTTTTTATCGGTAAAGTATATAGTCTCACAAAATTATTTCTTGACAATGGGAAAATATGCTCTACGGTGTAAATGTAACTGAAATTAAATGTTCAATTTTGTGAGGGCGGATAAAGTCAGCTTTAAAGCTTATATTAGTGTCATTGTTCGGAGAGTATACCAACCCCATAAATAGGATTTAATTACCTACAATAAATAAACCCCCAGGGGTTCTCAGGTTGTGTTATGTGGTTATAAGGTTCATGACCTTTATAATGATTGACAAGTAAAATATAAACAGTAGTTTAATGATTATCGATTTTGGTATATCTCTGTTCATACAATATATCTACGTCGAAATAAATATATTTAGCAAGTTTTATTTTACACTTTTATATAATATAACTACATTGCTGTATACTTTTGTGGGGTTTGGAGGCCGAATGGTTGACGCAAGCGCGTTGGATCATAAGGTCTGTCATTGAGTTAAGTGGGGTGGTTTCGATTTCCCGGTTGTACGTGACAAGGAGTAGGGTCGCCTGTCCAACCTCGTGGGTTTTCTCCGGGTCCCCCGGTTTCCTCTCACTGCTAAAAGACTCATACGCGCAAGCGAATTATTGAAATAAAATTGAACCAGATGTTAGTCCCAAACTGACCTAGTTTGTGTCTACCTTTATGACTGCACTGCTGAATACAAGTAAGGAACTGAAATGAAATGGGGTTTAACGACCTACTGTTCAGCTCCGAACTGGGCTAATACAGTGTGCAATGAGGGAAATTTTGTCTAGACAGTAGCACTACAGCTTACTCTTATATCGAATTCCAACTGACAAGGGATCTTTTACGTGCACGCCAATGTGGGTTCCCAATTTTCGACTAGACACTATTCCTTGCGAAATCCGAGTAACTTTCTCGACCAACACCGGAAACGAACCCGAAACTTCCTAGTTAGCGAGCCAGGTTTCTGCTTCTAATTTGCTTGCTACTTTAATGACGGTGTCGTGTAAGTGGCATGATATGCACACCTTTTTGGAACACCTGATTTTATTGAAATAGATTCATAATATTCTTTGTGTATTTATCAATGTAATAGCAATGTCAATGCCCAGTATTTGCCGATTTTGGTAAATCAACTCCAAAATAGAAAAATAAATCCACTAAAAATTTATATAATTTATATATATTTTCGAATTCCTAATGCCAAGATAATTGAAATGAGAATAAAAGAGGTCTTTTATTCCAGAATTAATGTAACTGATGATTTGATACGATTGTTATTTAAGTGACATCTTATAGTTAGGAACGACAGTTAAATAATCAATCATTGTTTGTCCTTAATATGTAATGGACTAAAATTACGTTTAGAGCAGAGTTTAATGTGAAGTGCGTGATGTGAGGAAGAAATAACCCGTCTAGTATTGCAGACATCAATTTCTTAATGCCACAGTGCTGGTAACACTAAAGGGAGAAGATTTTAATTTTGCCAACTAAACGAACCAAGGACATAGTCTTATCTCTTTGGGGAGCCGCGCTGGCTAACTTACGGTGGTGGCCGAGTGAGAGAGAGAGAGAGAGAGAGAGAGAGAGAGAAAGAGAGAGAGAGGGTTTAACACTCGACATAAACTAGGCCATTTCGAGACTAACATATGGTTCAATTGTATTTCAATAATTCGCTTACGCCTTGGGGTTTTTAGCAGTGGGGAGAAAACCCACGAGGGTGGACAGGCGAGGATTTCGAAATAATAGTAGGCCTCATATCACACGGAATACTTGCGCTGGGATACACTCTCTTGAACCATTGAATAACCCGAGCGGTATTCAATAAGTTCTATCTATTTATTTAAAGTATAAAAATGTTCAGTCCATAAGTTTCAGTGCAAAGTTTCTTATGGCATTCGGGCAACATTTATACCGAATAACAGCAGACCTGTAATTACTCGTTTAAAGCACACTTAACCCTTCAAGTGATCGCAGACCTTTAATTATCCATTTAAAGCCCACACCACCCTCGAAATGTTAGCAGGTATGTAGCTACCCATTCAAAGCCCATGCCACCTTTCAAATGATAGCAGACATGTTACCTAGCATTCGAGATATCCCGGCTAATTGATTTTTTTTCGGGGGGTGGGGGCTGATTAGTTCTCTCTCTGGTTGATTTTGAAGTCTGGAAGCACATCCTCCTATAGACACAATACTATCACTGACATAGAATGCTATAACTGACGAAGAATTAAGTTAACATACCTATCTGCATCTGGATTCTCCAATATGGATTCTAAATCCGATATAGAACCAGGGTCATCTGATAATATTAATGGTATCCGTTTTCGTGATCCAGGAGGAGACTGATATAAAGAGGGGTCTGATAGTCTATTCCGACGAGTATGCAAATCCCGAAACTTAGCTAGTTCATTCTCAAAGCGATGATTTTCGACGGGTCCAATCGAATTCGGACGATCTCTCATAAAGTTATGCTTTCGACGTCTAACAACAGATGTGTGATTAACCACGGTTGCATGTGTTGGTGCTGGTGGATATAGGGGACTACTAGGAAAGCACGGTGTTTCGGGACACTTGGGGCTGTACACAGGGGGGAGATCACACTGCACGGAGACATCACGCTGCCATGGAAATCGGGCTTTAAAGCTTTCGCCTACAATATCCAAGTGTTTGTAATTAGTTTTGCACACCCGACTTTCACTAGAACACCTTTGTAAGTAATTATTATTCAAAAGATGTTTCTTATCACTTGGACTAGTGGCACACATGGTAGTATCGGATGCTTGGCCAGGTTCCGAATGACTATGCTGAAACACTCGCGGTCTTCTATTGATGGTAAATCCACACTGTTCATCACTTTCATTCGAGGACTTTAAACTATTTGAAGGAAGGGAACAGGTGGATGGATGCCTCCGGGTGTTACGGGGACGATTCCTTTCACTCTCGTCTCTCATTTTAAACGATTTGTCTTCTTGTTGGTTCTTGTCAATCGTGAGTCCATTGTGATTCACTTGTGGATGATCGTTATCATCTGATGGACTGTCTTTGCTGTGGAGTATATTTTTGGTGGTGGATATGCGTCGTTTGCATACCGTTGATTTCCTATCGTCTGCGCTGTGTGTGTCAAAACTTGTATTGGTGGCGCTCTCATCAGCTGTAAAAATAACGAGAAGTATTCAATTAGACTCGTGAACGACTACAAGCGACTAACGAGATTATACTTATAGCAGGGGCTTACCTTTTGTAAGCGGGTATTAGGGGGTTGATTCCCATTGGTTTTAAAGTGGTATTAAGGTTCATACAGCAGCCATCTCATCTAATACCGTTGTACAACTTTAGGGAATGGAAAGCAGACCGAATAGGATTAGAAACAAGGGTTTTAAGACATTCAAAAGGATTTTAACCCAACCGACACAAGAAACCCTATGTATTTATCTTGGATTATGAACAAAAGTATAACACTATATGCTTGATTTTACAACTTGATCACAATACAGAATATTAAATATTACACGTCGTTGTGTATTGAACAACGTGGGTATCTCGGTTGGTCGTGGTCACGCCATGCGAAGAATTATTAACCCTATAAATACTCTGACATACTGGTTTCAACAAGAGTATATCAGATAGAGGCGGACGACGTTAAGATAAACTTAATTCTATAGTATTCTGTATACAACGTACGCATAATGCTGCAGGACACCATTTCATTTAATTTCATAATGTTGCAGCATTAATATTCATTTTTAGTAAGGGATAACCAACCAAAGGATTCATACATGTTTTAAAGTTTAAAATAAAAAGATGTAGTATTTCGAAAAAGACTATTATATTTTACAACCCAATTAAAGATGCAGTATGTAAAATTTAGATACGACCTGGCCTTGTATATCTCCAGGAAGTAGCTGATTGTCAAGAGCAATTGAGAGTTGACAGTCGGGAGTTGATTAGGACTTGTCATGTGAATGGAATTCTAAATGATAATTTATATAACATTTGAAACAAGAAAAAATTGCAATATTCAGATGTAGCTCTTGCATAATAGATCTTTAAGCGACTTTCAAGAGTACAAAAATAAAAATAAATTGTTAGCTTACGGCGATGAATTGCAGACAAATTGGGTTGAGTAATCTGATCTTTTAACTCTATGCGATAAAATTTGTTTTTCAAAGATTGGGCAGAAGTAAGTTTATTTACTAATATTAGTTTCGTTTTTGGAAAAAACTGTTGACTGTTGAGCACATAACCGGCCAATTAATCTCTATATTGACAACCGAATGGAAGCTAGTTGTCATTTCAAATAACAAATCAGCCCGTAAAATGCTACCAAATCAACAATTTTATTTCTAATCTAAATCAAAGAGTGGATTGCCCTTGTTGAATTTGAATATATTGCAACTGGTATATATTTTTCTGCGTCTTTTGTTTTAGTATGAGTTATGATCAAAGATTATATTCTGGTATGATGTCCCTTTACTGTTTAATGATGTCCCTGGAAAGTTAAAACACAGAGGATAGCATACTAGGATTTCTTGCCCACTCTATTTTATATACATTTTATTAGATGAATTTCAGCTAGAAACAGCCAACGGTGAGGCTGATATCGCCCCGTCGAAATCCCCAAATAAATAGATGACGCATATCAATTAATTTCACATTTATTTTTTTCAAAAGTATCAAGCAATCAAACTGATTATCTATGCTTTGTCTAAACAGAAAATGTTCTCGATAAAACTCAGTCCGGTTTTGAAGTACCTGGTAGTGAAACTATACACTAAGTTTCATCACTCTACATCAGTTAGAATCAAAGTTATCTTGCCCCAAGGCATCTACCAATGAAATTGCTTAGATCTATTGAGCTTTAGCGGGAAATAGTAATCATTGAACTCAGTCAAGACATTCACCTAATGAACATCTTTTTCTCAACTAAAAGCAGAATTGTTATGTTCCATAGTCTTGACCAATCAAATGACTTATCTCTACTTAGCCTAAGTAGAAACTTCTGATCGAACATAGTGGAGGTATTGATGTGAGGAAACTATACACCGTGTTTCATCACTCTCGCTTAATAAGAACTAAGGTTGTCGTGTCCCAAAGCATCAACCAATCAAATTGCTTATCTCAGCTTACCCTAAGCAGAAAATGTCCATCTTTATTGTGTTCCAAAGTCTTGACCAATCAAATTGCTTATCGTTCTGCTTACCCTGAGCAGAAAATGTAGTGAAACTAAGCACCAAGTTTCACCACTCTCACCATCGTGCCCCAAAGCATCAACCAATTAAATTGCTTATCTCTGCTTACCTTAAGCAGAAAATGCACATCTTCGAACCCCATCAAGGCATTCACCTAATAAACACCTACAACAAGTTTGAACATTCTAGCTCAGTTAGAAGGAGAGTGTGACGGACATACAGACAGACAGGTAGACAGACGGACAGACCCATTTTAATAGTCCCCTGCTTTCTTCGAAAGACGGACGACAACAAGAGTTAACATAACTATCTTTTTACAGATAGTATATTATATAAAAGGTGTTAGGCTCAGGTGCTGTAACGACAACGATGTGCTAAAGAGAAGATAAAACCAGATAAAACCAGACTACCCGAAGAAAACTGGCGAGGTCAGGCATGCGACCATACTTCTTGTCAAGTGCAAAAGATGATCGGTCTTTATATGATCTACAGCGCGTACGCTTGTCCAAAACACCCTGATGATGACAGATTTTCATGACAGTGTGGCTGATGTGTCCAAGGTGAGTTTGCGTTTCTGATGAAATATCGACTAAAGATATTAACATAATCATATATAATGAATGAACGAAATGGAGTTTTTTAACGTCCTACTTTTCTGCACCAAGCGGGATAATGAAGAATCGATATGAGGGAAATTTTGCCCACACAGTAATTGAATTCCGAATGTAAGAGACTCTTTTACGTGCACACCAACGTACCAACCGAACTCCTAGACGCTGTACCTTGATAGCCACCCCCTCCCGTCCTGCATTACTGACAAGGGGGAACCACGCTGCAAAAATCCTAAGGAATCGAACCCCCATATTCCTGAAGCAATGGCCAGAGAAATCCCTCTCCGGCCATTGCTGGATTGGCTTCTGATACTTGAGCTTTTGAGGGAGTGTGTCTATTCTTCCCGTTCAATCAAATCTATCCCAAGTACAGCAACATGACAGCCCTTCGTTTAATCTGGAGTCTTCCCTAAAACTTTAGACAGTGATTTAAGGTATTAAACACGGTGAAAGTATTGTTCGTCTCCAAACAGTATTGTTTACATTGTATCCGTATTGATAGCCTCGTTTGTCACGCAATAAGTTTTTCTCCAATATTCTGCTATTAATTGGGCATAATAAAATCGTGAGTCATGACGTAACGTTATGTAAGCATATTTAATCCAATTTGGAGCTCTGTTTAAAGCATAATGATATGATTAGGCAGTTAGCTATTGGTTGTTAATCGGTCTATTGACCAGTCATAATTTGGAACAGAAATTTTCTTCAATTACAGCAGTGTTAAGTGTGATTAGCTCGGAACACAGCGAGGAGTATGCGAACCCCGGACTTTCTAGCTATCGGACAGATGTCTTACTCACTAAGCCGTAGCTTCCAGATTATATAGAAAATAAATTTTGTCTTGTGACCTATTGAACAACATGGTAGTAATTGTCCTGAGGCTGCCCGACTACCCAATTTCGTTCTACTATCGTTTTGCTAAACAAAATAAATAGATAGATAATGATGCAAACCACAAAATTAGTTAGTCAAAATAATACGCTATAATTAAAATTACCTGCAAAAGGTGGCACATGGCTATACACAAGTTTAAACAGGATATGAATTATACTGCCACTTATCTTCATCTTGATAATCATAATAATACTAATTATAAGTTTTTATCATCCATTTGTTATATAACAATAAGCACAGTTTATTAATTCAGACAGAACATTCGAAGTTAAATTCTGCGCATTGCACAATGATGGTCAAATTATATATTAAAACTCACAACGAATGCACAAATGTTTTGAATGGAAAACACAAACAACTGCACTTTTAATGTCTTTTTTTGTTCAAATATGTATTGGGAATTATTGTTATATTCTTATCATAATTACCGATGTATACCGATGTCACTGAAAATATCCTCATCTTTTGAAGCTCCAACCACCTGTTGCACAGACAACATAATATTGATTTTTGTCCCCAAATGTTTTCCATTTATAATATGTATATTCATTGTGCTGCTGAGACATAAATATCTGACTTACAGCTAGTATGAATGAATTAATTAATCCAAATTAACATACTACTTAGTTTGAAGCCCCTGTCCATTGATTTGCAGTTCAAGCTTTTCACACATTGGTATTAATTATCTAATAAATACTGTAATCCAGTGGCATTCAATAAATACTCAAAACCAGACACATATGATTACAAGTTCGCTATCATTTTCAAAATATTTTCGGCAGTTCAACAAATGGTCTGATAAGCATACTTTGTAACATAAATAGATTTCAGATTCGAACATGTGGTACCCTTTGATGTCTCTGGACGATACAAATTCCTTAGAACATATTAATGACAGATGAGTCTCCAGCGTAATACGGATGACGACAATATTATGACATCACGTTGGATCACAGGTGTTTTACTATATTGATTGACATAATGTAATCTATTACACAGGTTTTGGTATGCATATTAGCTTTACATTCTGCTTATTGAAATACGTGACAATACATATTATTATAAAGCCAATTATTGAATTTCGGTTCCCTTTGTATTAGATATTACTAAGTTTACAGGTATGTTTTGACGCTAAATACTTCCACCGGGTTTCATATTTTCTTTAATATCAAAACCATGAGATCACACATCACAACTCTTTAAGGGTGACATATTGCACTGATTAAAACTAGTCTATAAAGAACTTTATATTAATAAAGATATTCTGAAACAAATCACAACTCTTAAGTGTCATATAGCATTTATTAATAGGTTTTATATTTAAAAAGTGCAAGGCCACAGATCATAACGGGAGGTATTTCCAATTCCACAGTGACACAGATTTTGTTAAACTAGTCCATATAAAGGGTTATATGTTTAAAACACACGATGGCACATCTAGATCACAACTAAAGGTA